TGATGTTGGTATTCTGAAAGGGTTATAATGATTGATAAATTTTGTCGGGGAATCATTCCTCTAGTGAATCCGTGGTTACTGGTTTCAGCTAACATGGGCTTTTGATCTTATGGTGCCAAGTGCCAGCATGGTCATTTCAGGTTTTCTCATTGTCTAGGTTATTTTCTGCATATCTATGTTCTTTACGTTTTTCACTTTTATGCTATAGCACGAATCAAGATTGCTTTTTTGCTCGTTTCATGAAAATATTGTTGTGTCTGTTTTGATTCTCTAAGTGCAGATGATGGTGTGTAACGAGAAAAAAGCTACTTTACTTTTTTTGTGTCGTTGATATATTGTTGTTTTTGTTAGAAGATGTGGAGAGAAAATAAGACAGAGAGACACCGAAGACATTTGCTTAGTTAAATATTGGTTATGGAAGAAAATAAATATATTAAATTATTCCTTTTTTTTTCCCTTTTTTGCTTTTATATACTGATCCAACTGAGGAAGATTAGGCAATAATTGGGCCGATGTCTGCGTTACATGACGCTAGAGATGACAAATTTGCAGAATTCTGATAATTATCGCTCGTGCCCCAAAAAGATAAGGGTGGTTTCTGCCAACTTTAAAGATAAGGGAAAAATTACTTCAAAATGTCTTTTTTATTTGATTGTCAAGTACGTTTTTTACTTGAAAATGGTTTCAAGTACGTTTGTTTTTTATTTGATTGTTGTTCATTGCAATGTAATGAGTGAGTTCAGCTCTCTCTAAGGATGCTAGATCTGATAGATGTGAATTGTTGGATGCTAAATTATTGGACACTGACTGGGGAAGGAAAGTAGGTATAATTGATTAAACAATAAGACAAAAATTTCCTATAAGCTAATCTAGTATAATGTTTGTTGTCTCGTTAAACTTTTAATTTTCTTTTCTTCAAAAATAATTAGGAATAATTCCTTTTTTCTGTGTATAATGTCTTCAAAAATAGTTGGGAGTTTTCACATGTGATATGCTAGTACTTCTTATCGAACACATTTGAAACCAAGTGATTTTGGGGAATCAATTAAACTCGTTGTAGAAGATCAATTTCTACGGATAAACTACTGTTTCAAATAAACACATTTCTGCAGATGTACGTTTATGAGCAGTGGTATGCTTTAGTGTGTATCAAGCACGAAGGCAAATGTCACTAGCTGTTTTTGCTGGTTTCATGCACCTACGTTTTAACTGATTCATCTACAATCAATTTGCAACATTTCCATTGGTTGATTCTGAATTAGATGTGGTTTTTAGTATGAAGGAAATACTCGAAAGGCACAACTTACACTCGAAGAATCTTGAAAAAATGGAGCAGCCGTCGCTTGAGCTGCAGGTGAGTTTCAAGTGGCCAAGCAGCTGATGCTGTATTTGTCATTCCACGATGATTCTGCACCGTTAGAAGTTATGTATGATTAACATGAACGATCCTCGCAGTTTATGTGAACAGTCCTTGTAGATCAGTCTAAAATGGTTCTTTTGAAGGGTTGATACTACACTTGGCAATTTGGTTCCTTTTTGCATAGATTTGATTTGTAAAGGAACGGAAATCTTATTTGATGCAGCTGGTGGAGAATAGCAATTGCTCTCGATTAAGCAAGGAAGTTGCTGAGAAAAGCCATCAACTGAGGTCTGTTCTTCTATGTGTTCAAATATGTTTTCTCTTTTTGATGTTCACTGGCATCTATGAAAATTTAACATTGCCAATTCAGGCAAATGAGAGGAGAGGAGCTCCAAGGATTGACTGTTGATGATCTGCAGCAATTAGAGAGGTCGCTTGAAGCTGGATTGAACCGTGTGATAGAGAAAAAGGTTACAACTTCTTTCCATATATATTAATGTTGAAGGTATTATAATTTTGATCCTTCATTTCCTAGTTTGGATACATATGCCTTACAGAATTTAGTTCATTTGTTCAGGGCGAAAAGATAATGAAGGAAATTAATCACCTTCAGCGAAAGGTGAGAAAATTTTTGTGCTTCCACCATTAGCTTTGACCAGCATTTGCTTTTGGTACATTTCCTTTACTCCTATATTTGGTGTCTCTGCTTCTTAAATTGCCCTTAAAAGAGAAACTATCCTCCGTACAGGGAATGCAACTAATGGAAGAGAATGAGCGTTTGAAGCAACAGGTAAGTACAGCCATGGACCTCTGGGATCTTATCTTGTGGATTTCTTCCTACCCCATTACCTCGTTTGTTTCTCTGGTGCACGCCCATTATGGCAGCTTCGATTGTTTGCCTGAAGGTGATGGAGGTATCCAATGGAAGCGGGCAAATGGCAGCAGATGATTCAGAGAACGTTCTGTACGAGGAAGGCCAATCATCTGAATCGGTTACTAACGTCTGCAGCTCTACCGGCGGTCCACAAGACTATGAAAGTTCTGATACCTCTCTCAAATTGGGGTAAGGCCATGATTCCTACAAGCTATTGACAACACAAATATCTTAAAAAGGATTCGGGGACATGTTACTGTCATATTTGTCTTTTTGTTGTTTTGGGGATTCAGAATGACTTTATTTGCATCACAGATTCATACAGATCAATGATTAAATGATAACAGCAACAGCTATCTTTCCTAACCTTCTCAGTCCAAATTCTTGGAATTTGGTTTTTGCAGGCTGCCATACTCAGGTCGATCGGAAAAGTAAAGCAGTATGTAACACCAAAACGGGCGAATGTGTTGTTGGTGGTCACATTGCATGAAATAAGATGTAAAAGCTAACCAGCAACTTCAGATTCTTGATTCAAAACCAAGCAAGCATATTTAAAGAGAGGGAGGGAGTTGATGAGACTGTAGATGATGAAACCATAACTATCATTGACAGTAAAAATGGGATGCATTGCTAACCAGTATTTCGAGACTTTCTCATTCACCGCTACTATTCAATAACTTTAATAGATATTGCATTTAATAAATTGAGGCCTCTGCCATGGCTATTCTGTGCTAGCTACTCCTTTCATTTGGTTTTATTGATCTCACTTTTGATAAACGCTTGTACGTTGCATAATATGAATTTCAGGGAGCCATTAGTGATGGAATCTATAGAAAAACTTAAAGAGTGAAGAAAGTTTCACTTGACGGTAAATTGCTTAAATAGAGTTCATAGAGGTTAAGGCTTATCTTCTTCTTTTTTTGCTCCTTTTAAGGACACGTTGCTTGATTAGGGCTTATTAACCCATAATAAAAAATACATTGGAGATGCCTTTCATCTTAACCAAGTTTTAAATCTTAAAATCCTAACAGGGATGCTTCTTAAAGATACTTAAAGCATGTCTAGGTATTTTTTTAAAAATTTACTTGGAGTATATGTTTTTTTTTATTACTGTAATTTTTGGAATTGAAGAGCGTGAATGGGAATGCCTTTCATGAAAATGAGACTACAATATAGAGCATGAATTTAATAGGAGGTTATTTAGAATAATACTTTGACAAAAACTGCAACACTTTTTATGATATAACGTGTGTCAGATAAAGAATAGTTAAAAATAATTAAAAAAAATGTTTGTAATGCATTCAAATAATTTATTTTTTTGCAAGTAAAATCATATCGAACCAGTTACTTTTCTAGGAGTTGGCTTCCTTATGTTAGCCATGCCTTGCTAGTTGCCACATCTCCATGCAGTGAAAACTGCGAAATTCAGTGCTTGCTACAAATATTAATAAACCCTTCTGATTTCTGAAAGTTGTTGCTTCTGTGGTCAAGAAGAAAGAAACCCTGCATCAGCTTATTTCATTCCCTGATAATGCAAGTACCACAGGTAACTGCCAAATCTGTAAAACTGATGAAGTAACCATTGCCATCTTTTTTTGACCCCAAAAAAAAAAAAATTTATTGCCATCTTTTAATTCGTTGCTGTGTCACTGAACCTGCAATTGCTGATTTATTAGGCAGTTTTTAGCCTTTGCCTTTGGGGAAGTGTCGACTGTGTTGGAAATAAATTCGACTGCAATAAGTGTAGCCTGCGTTACTGAGCCCGTACCCGACGTTATCCACTTGTCTTGGGGACCAAGAAAATAAACAGCAACGAATAATGAATGTACAGTTATATAAGTTCTAGTGGGGTACAGGGTTCACTTTTTGTTTAGATTCATTTGGAAGGAAGAATCAAAGGGCAAAGAGTTGTGCTTTAGGGGGTATAGAAATTTAGGACTTCTCCCTCCATATAAGCAAATCCATCATAGCGAAACTGTTCAAGAATTTAGTGATTCCGAATTGAACACAATGAATCTAGAATAAAAGAACCCTGGTTTGGGACAAAAAGAAAAAGGATAATTTCAGAAACCTCGGTTTTTGATAATTGCAGCCACCTTCGGTAAGGTTTGAAAACTGATAGTAGAAATTTCTCCTTAAAAAGTATGTTTTGGTAACAATTAATGGTGTAAGTAAAAAAAAAAAAAATCCAATAAATATCGAATATCATCCCTATGTGATATGTTAAAACAAATTAAATGCTAAAAAGTCAATTATTACTATTATTCGTTAGACGAAAACTTCAATTTAATTTTTTGCAGGAAAATTTAAGTCATGTTCCGAAATCTTTCTTTTTTGGTACTTCATACATTCTTTTTTGGTACTCATTTTCAACTTAAAATTTGTTCCATAAAGTTTATCATAGTGTGTTTTCATAATGAATGTTAGAAAAGGTAAGTGTAATTTTTCAAACTTTAGAGAGGGTGGCCACAATTGTCATCAATATCAAGGGAGGTTTCTAAAATTATCCCAAAGAAATAAATGTTTAGGGTTGAAAAAATAAAATTCAACTGCGGTGTGGGGGACGGTGCTGGTCCCAATACCAATCGCACGAAGAAGAAAAGGAAGAAGGAGCCTTTTAGAACTGTTTAAGCGCTTACTCTGGTGGCTGGAATAGATCGATCGGTCTTCTTCGTTTCGTAATTTATTGCGCTTGTCCACAATTGTGCGAACATGCTCGTGAGAGGTGGAACCAATATGGGATTCGTTACTCACACTACAAATCAATTAGTAACAGAAGTGTGATTTGTATTAATCGGCTCAAATCTATCAGAATCACCTATTTTAATACCTCCACTCCCCCGGCCATGTCACAAATTTAATCGACTTGGCTCTATGTCACAAATTTTTGTTTTTACAAGGGCTCTAGTTCACACGAATCCATCATCAGTACATATCAAATTTACGTACCGTAAAAAAAAGATGTGCTGTTCCCTTTGCACCGACAGGTTCCTGCCTACGATGTAATTAAACCAGTGACTTTCTAAGGATTCTGAAACGTCAAGGACTATGAAGGTGACTTCCCCTCTGTTCTCCGTGCTTTTGTTGTACATGCTTCATATATAGATTTGACTCCACTGGCTGTGCTGTGGCTGTGCATGTCTTCGTTTGCTTTTGTTGTTTTCACACGTTTCATATGGGAGTTTTAGTGGGCTAAGCTTTCGGCTAAAACAGCTTGGATTCAAAATGGACGAATGTCGTTGAGGTGAAAATTCTTTTCTCTTCTTGTAGCACATGGCTTGATTTTACGTCCCTGTTTAGAATGGACGTTGTCTGAGTCTGCTGAACTCACAAAGCCCATTTGACATCCCAGAAATTTGAACATTAACAACATAACTAAGCAAGGGAAGAACTTCAAAGCTTCAGGACCTGCTGGGATTGGCTGCCGGAAAACTGCTGTTAGAATTTAGAAATGGCGGTTGATTTGGTTCAGGAATGGCACAATTAGGAACTGTAACCATTTGAACGACTTCAACCATAGATGGTCTTGAAGTAGCAGAAGCTTGACCGCACAAAAGCCCAATTTTAAGCACATTCCATGCCTCTAGCGCTGGAAAATTCCCTTTCAAACAAGGATCGACTAATTCCTCGAGTTTATCCGTTTGGTAAAACGTCCAAACCTGGGCCAACAGTAAAGAACAATTTTTGTTCATCTTGTCTGAGCGAATCTGAACCCTTTTAGGCTTTAGCAAGTTGAAATGAAATGTGGTGATAAGAGAATTGGATCTTTACCGTTTGCAGAAGTGAGCCAGAGTCGTCCTTGGAAGCATAATTATGCTTTCTACCACAGACGATCTCAAGAACCAAGATGCCGAAACTGTATACATCAGCCTTCTCCGTGAGCTGTCCTTTGACAAGGTATTCAGGAGCCATGTATCCTCTGTAAACAAAGCCAAAATCAAACGTTCATTTCAGCAAATGATTAAAATTTCAAACATGCAATCTGGAGATACGATGATGTTTCCTTGTTCATCTTGATTGCATTTGTTGACAGTGGAGTAAAATGCTAATCGCAGTAACATTTTCTCTTACAAAGTCCCTGCAAGTTCAGTGCTAAGGTGAGTTCTGTCCTCGGCAAAATGCCGAGCCAATCCAAAATCTGCAACTTTAGGAGAAAAATCCTCATCAAGAAGCACGTTGCTGCTTTTTATGTCCCTGTGGACAATTCTGATCCCGGCTCCTCCATGAAGAAAAGCTATCCCTTCGGCTGTTCCAATTATAATTTGGAATCGCTCCTTCCAACTTAGAATCTTAATTCTGTTTTCATCTGCAGAGTGATTTGTAAGTCTACCATGTTAAGGTGCACGCTGCATTGCTACACAAACTTGTTAACCAGAATATATGGTCTAATAATGTTACTAACCAAAGAGGTAGTGATCGAGGCTCTTGTTGGGCACAAACTCGTAAACCAGCAAGCTCTCAGGACCTTCAATGCTACAACCCAAAAACTTGACGAGGTTTTTGTGCTGAATTCCATTGATCAGATCCACCTCATTGAAGAACTCTTCAACCCATCGACTGGTACTAAAGAACAACCTCTTTACAGCAATTACTTTTCCATCCGGAAGAGTTCCTATATATACGGAACCAGCTCCTCCTTGGCCTATTTTCATTCTGGGATCGAAATAGTTTGTTGCCTTCTCTAAGATTTCATATTTGAAGTACAAATATGACTTGTTGTATGCATGTGAAATTCGGGCTAATTTTCTCTGTTCTGCATCACCACAAAATGAAACAATTTGTTACGTTTAGTTGAAAAAAAAACACTGCATTAGAAATCATCTTTACTTACGCCTTGGTTATCGATCATCTTATCATACCTTGAATGGATTTTTTGAATCTTGCGTAGAATGCATAGGCAGCGAAAAGAGAGAGCATAGAGAAGGCCACAACAGACGAGCCTATAGCCACTCTTTTTCCCCATGTTGAGGGTCCTGAAAATAACCAGAATGTCAACAGGAACAAAACAAGCGAAGCTGCGAAAGAAATTGCTGAAAGAAGAATAATTCTAACAAAGTTTTAATTCTGAAATTTGATAGCTCATAAGACTATTGGTTAACACAAAAATGTAGGTTAAGGCAAAACAATTGGATAGTCTTGGCAAGAAACAGAATCGATAGAACACTTCTAACTGCAAAGATAACACCTTTAATCGAATAGAATATATTTGAGCAACTCTAAACTCAATTTGGGATCAATTCTCTCTTCATCACAAACTTTTTGTACTGCATACAACAGGTGCGATAATTCATGGTACTTACCTGCAATAGTCTTAGGCGGGTCATTATAGAATTTCACAGTCGAATACCTCAAATAACAGCCAGCATCCATCCCACGGCCTTCCCGGCTAGGCAAACACCCTATAGCATTTCGACTTGCCTTTGTTAAACATTCTTTACACCCTTGTTCGCTTAAAGTCTTCCAACACTGCGCCAAGCCAAACACTCCATTCAACCCCTTTACAGCAAACCCTCCATTCTTCAAAGCAACTGAAGTTACTTTATCAATCAACTTTACAACATTCTTTCCAAAATTCTCTACATCTTCGACACTCAGAACACCAGCTGATCGGCTGCTGCAATTTGATATACCTTTTGTTGTATCAACGCTTTCATCAAAGAAGTTGTAGTTGTCAAAACGCAGGAAACATCCGTCCATATAAACTCGACCTGATGCTGCACGGCCGCAAGCTTCATGTCTAATACCTCGACTCGTTAGGTAGCAAAAATAGCAATCAACCGGAGCAAGATCTTGGTAACATTGGGCTAAGGCATAGAAGGATATATTTGTCTTGTTCCCTGCATAAAGACCCCAGCCGTTTTTAATCACAAGAGATTCTATCTCGCCCATCACTTCAGATTCTATCTCTTCCACCACTTCAGAAGAACGGGGAATGTTGTAGCTGGTGTTTATCGGTGCTATATTCTGGCCACAAATCAGGCCAGCTTCGTGAAATTGAGGATTAGCAAATGAGAGGAATGGGAAAAATTTCAGGACGAAGATCAGCCCTGAAGCCAAATAAACAGAATTTGCGCTCGAGAACTGCATGTAGTTGATGAACTTGGATAGTTTGATGATTATGGCGTCGAGAAAGAGTTTGGTTTGCAGTTAAAAGATGTTTAATTAATTGCACTAGTACACAATTAATCTAATCACGAGGTCTCATAACATTTGCTGCATACTCCTACCGCATTCAAAATGAAGAACGAAGAGCAGAGCAAAGCAAAGCAAAGTGGAAAATAATCCTACAGCATTTAAATGAAGAAGGAAAGCAAAGGCAAGTCAATAAAAGCAAGTCAGCCTAGTAAACAAAATTTTCTTTTTTCGAAGTTTATTAAATTTCTGCTCTTAAGCCTTACCTAGTTGAATTTTCAACGTATATGAAGTATTTCTCCGTTCGTCCTTCCAGCTTAAAGCAGGAAACTGAAACTGCCTTTTGTCTTTATTCCCGCATTCTACTGATGAACCTATTTTGGTATTCATGCTTGGAATACCTACCAGTTTAATTAGGAAGGTGCCCATTCCATTCAAAACCGTGTGTGGAAAAAACTCAAAAAGTAGGTAGGGCAGTATTCTGCTACAACTGTTTGAATTAGTTATTTTTGGAGTGTTCTTAAAAAATTTTATTGTAACAGAGTTTTTAGAATATATTTTGCGATATTTTTAGAAAATATTTTGAAATATTTAAGAGTAATAGAGTTTTTAAAATATTTTTTAAATATTAAAAAATTTAATTTCCTTTTCAAAGTACTTTTAAAAAAATTTTATAATATTTAAAAAATTAGTTTTTGAAAAACTCTCTAGATCCAAACAGAGATGACCGAACCTCAAAGTGACTGAACCAAAACAGATAAATAACGGGCCACCCACGCTAAAAAGTCTTCTTTTCCTTATTGTGTGTGCAAGGCAAAGTGCAGCCGACCATGACTCGTCGACGCAATCCAGCAGACACGTCTCTCATCTCACTCGCAAAGATGGTATATTTAGCTCACAATTCGGGGGGCTGGTAGCTGTGTGTCGGTGAGGAATTGAACCCCCAAATCTTTAGCACCTATTTATAGCTTTGGACAGGCATCTCAAACATCTGAAAGAGAGAAGGCGAGCAAGTGCAATTTGGAGCCAAAGGGGCGAACTTTTTCTGATTGAGGAGCCAAATTTCTAGTTATGAAAACTAAGCTGAAAGAAACAACACCAGAGTGTACTAGAAAAGGGGAAAATACCAGTTTTCATCCCCAAACTTTGGAGTAAGGACACATTTCATCCCCCAACTTTTGGGAACGACACATTTGATGTCTGAATTAATAATTTTTGACCAATGTCATCCTCAAACGGCAATTTAGCTAATTTTTAATGGAACTAATCACGTAACATACCAACTCTTTATGAGAAGTTGGCAGGTTTTGTAGTATGTTTTGTACCAGCTTTTTATAGAAAAAATTGATTAAATAGCGCCCAAAGGAAAACTAGTATGTTTTTTATTTAACATAAATTAAATATGTGAAAGTTAAAAAAAAATATATAAATTGCCCATAACATACCAGTTCTTTATGGAAAACTGGCAGGTTTTGTAGTATGTTTTGTACCAGTTCTTTATGGGAAACATACCAGCTCTTTATAGGAAAAATTGGTTAAATAGCGCCCAAAGGAAAACTAGTATGTTTTGTATTTAACATAAATTAAATATGTGAAAGTTAAAAAAAATAATAAATTGCCCATAACATACCAGTTCTTTATGGGAAACTGGCAGGTTTTGTTAAAAATGTGATTTAAATTTACTTAACGGTCATGTGATTTTCACGTGACCAGTTCCATTAAAAATTGGCTAAATTGCCATTTGAGGATGACATTGGTCAAAAATTATTAATTCAGACATCAAATGTATCGTGCCCAAAAGTTAAGGGACGAAATGTGTCTTTACCCCAAAGTTTGGGGATGAAAACCGGTATTTTCCCACTAGAAAAGACCATGCGAACTGTGTCAATTGCCAAGGCTATTGTCGGACGACTAAACTTAAAAAAAGTGTTCTGAAGTATGAGAAAGACAATTATCAGACCCAAAGGGCTCATATGGTAATTAATCTTGCATCAGGGAAAACTAATAGTATGATTTAGGTAATGGGAAAACGAGGGAATATATTGTCTCAAACTTCCGCGTGACAATTTAATAGGAAAACTACATTCAGTAAGTTGAATAGATGTCAAAAAAAAAAAACATAGATAATTCTTGTAAAATCATAATTTAAAGCATATATCAGTTCCAGGAATCTACTCCTTTTTCGATTTGGAGAGAGCTTTCTTCCTTTGCCCGAGCATATAGGTATACATGTGAGGACTGCCTGCATGGGACAGCAGCGGTTGTTGATTAATAACAGCAAAGAGAATACAAATTGATCTTTTGTTTTTTAACTTTGATGGACCAGTATTTGGAGCCAATAGAACAAAATAAACAATCTTTAAGGAAGGAAAGTCATGCCTGGTACATAAACACCAAGAACGACAAATGCAACATAATAGTAATCAAATGAGAAGTTCCACTTGTTGGGCATCAATACAGAATATTTTGCGGATTCCTGCAAAAGAGTTCACGAGGTCAAGAAAGTCGATTTCTTTTAAGAAAGCTCTCACAAACTTCTACAAACTATTTCAGCAGTACATGGCCATGCGTGAAGCATCGTAGAAATGAAATACCCAGAAGCATGGAATACAGCACATGCTGATTACAGTAAATAACAAGATGAACTTGCAAAAGGAAGTATTTCAATAGTGAGAGACTACTTTACAGGGATTTCGACTACCAGGAAATTATGTCTTATTCTGTTAAAACAGATGCGCACCCAGGAGACATGTACAACTGATTAGGATATCTGTTTATTGTGTTCAATGACAGAGATTTGATAATGAGTTTGAAGCTATAAAAGGGAGTTCAAACAAACTGTCAAATTACTGCTGCATGGCAAAAGAAATTTAGATTTGGGCAATTATTTTAAAGTGCAATACAATTCAACGGCTTAAAAAGTTTCTAGGTCTGCTGTCGTCCAAATTTTTAACCACTAGGCAAAGTGAGCTTAAATGTTCTGCAAGAGACTTCACCATAACCACTTAACGATATTGCAATCCATGTCTAGATTAGGAAAATGTTCTGCTGAATGCTAAAACTCTCAAAAAGTCCATCACTAGATGAGCAAACTGAGAACACAGATGATTCTACAGGACTGCATCATCAACCTTATGACAATCACACAAACTAAAATGTACAAGTCATTCATTCTATGACAATCGAGAAGTTCTTTCCATTGGCAAAAATGTAATTCTGTAGTATGGTAATATGTAATAAGAGTGCTAGGGGCATTCAACTCCTGCTGCACTGGATATCTCCAATATTAACTAGCCAAACAAGAGACATTAAGGGCAATGATTGACAGTAGATTAGCGTAATTTGTTACAGGATTTAGTTCATTACCTTGATAAAAGGTAAGGCATTGTATATTAAACCGACCTCACTCGTGATGCCCGTTGGGTACAGCAAGAGGAAGGTGCTATACCTGAAGCACACAGTTGAATAATTAATGAGACTGATAAACACCATGGCTTCCATATCACAGTTGCATGGTTCATACCTAAGCCACAAAAGCCATGAAGGTGCAGAGCCAAAGGCTTCCTTTGTCCCAAAAAATGAATATCGGATAATCTGAAGTGTAAGAAAGTAAATCATTCTCAAGTGAGATTGATTTTCCAACAATAAATAAAATAAAGTGAGGCAAGAGATTCTAGAGTAAATGCAAACTAAACGCACATGAATATGAAAGGTTTACCTCAGTGATAGACCAGCTAATGACCAAACTGCTAACAAGTACATGAGTCCTAACCTGTGAGGTGAAAGATAGATTTTTGTAATATAAAATTCTCTCACCATTTAAGGGAAAAAAAAAGAGGAGAAAACCTATTAGCATCAATGGCTCAAACCTCAGGAAAGCTCCACAAAATTCCCCAAGCTACATATAACCTTGAACCAATCTGTGGCAGCGTCGCAGAAACTGGAGATCTAACCAAGCCTTTTGAAGGAAAAACCATCAGTTTGTTTTGATACAAAAATCTACAGTGCTATTATTAGCTTATCAGTGAGTCCACTTACCAACTAGACCATGAATTATCTGCTCCATATAAAGCATACAGGATGAAAAGGACAGAAAACAGAAGTTAGGTACATATTAGATTTGACAGGTAAGAAATGGAATCCCCATTTGTAAACTAAATTTCATCAAAATTGTAAAGTTACAATAGACAAAAGGATGGGAGAACTGCATACTATGTACCGGGGCGTACATTTATCATATCATCCACAGAAAACAGGTTGAGCATTTGTATGAAATTGCTTATCTCATAATTCTAGGATCAAACAATATTCTTTCTCATATGTACAAACCCACTATGAAGCCCCAGAGAGTCTCACATCGACAAGAAGATTTTTATCCAAATACTTCTGAGTAATAATATGTTTTCTCTAGTGGCATAATAACTCTTTGATCAAATTTTTATGATTTCAACTCCTCTAGTTACTGAAAATCCTAATAGTCTACTAAGCACAAACACTCCAAGACAATACCTCCTCTGACTAAAATGCATTTGACAGCATTGACAGTATACAGCAAACCAAAGTAATTTGCTCTCAGCCTCCATTACTCACTTTCTCAGTACACAACCACCACACATGGAGCAAGTGCCTCATCCTTAAATCCCAGAAGCGTATCTGATATCAATCAGCTCAAGTATTTCACTAGTACACGAAACAAACTGCTCAAGAGGGCTGCGTAACGTTCTGCCCGACCAATACAAGGACTTAGCTCTGTCCACTAGATGGCATTTTATTTATAAGCTACATTATTCCACTAAGTTTCAAAGATCATACATTCCCATGCCTCAAGGAAATACTGGGTACTAGACGTGGGCAGCCAAACTCATTCAATTTTACATAAAGGTCAAAACTTGTAGATATCCTAGTAAAATCTTACACCAGTAATGTCTCCGCATGCCCATTTAAATATAAAACAAGACCAGAAGTTTCAGAAAAGAAAATAAAATTAAGAAACCAAAGGAATCACCTCTAAGATGGCAGCAGATTGAGCTAGAAGCAGAGGCTTCTCAACGGCATCGTAGACGTGTTGGTGCCCCGACTCCTTGAGGGTCTTCACAGCTAGAAAAAACACCTGCAGCCTGGTAAAAAAAAATCAAATTGAAACCAAGATTTAATTGCAGAAAGAAAATTCAATAACCGAAGGAAATAAGATCAACTCCGAAGAAGCGAGTAAAAGAAGAATTACCATCCGACGAAGACGGTCCAATTGTA